ACTGGATACATTTCTGCCAAAAGCCACTGGGTTCTGCAATTTGTTTCTGAGTCTCTGGGATCATGGCCGTTAAGCAGTTCGATCAGGAACCAGAGAGGCCATGCCTCCAATTATATAGCTGAACCGGAGATGGTTTGTGGGTGTGTTTCCCACATACCTAACTTTTGGCCATTTACTTTCTTGGTAAACTTTGCCCCAAGTTTTTGGAGTCTGGCCCAGCAGCAATTTGGGGTATCTGGAAGTCTGGAGGCGCCATCAGGCTGCTGATGCACTCGCCTCACAAGTACAGATTGACCTGCTGGCGACACCATACCCCCAATTTTTTTTTTGAAAAGGAAGAATCCAGAGACCTTAGGATAAAAACTTGTCTCTAGTTTTGGTCATATCGTTGTTCTGGCCCTGTTGGATCCTGGGCAAAAAAAAAAAAAAAAAGTCAAAAGGCTATTTAGAATCTCCTGCGAAATATTTAAGTCCATACCTCACCTTTATCACCAATCTTATCAAAAGGAAAATGCTGATGGAGTTTGTGAGCTGTTTGTACAACTCATCTGAGTGCCTAGTGCTTCAGAGGTGAGTGGTCCTCCAACGAGGTGAATGGGGAAATCAAGTGGTCAGTGACCAAAGGGACCCGCCTTGCCACCGTGTGCCAGAAATAGCTCGGTGCAACTGATCTACAGTTAGAGATTAAAAAGCAGGTATGGGTACTCCATTCCCATATTGCCTTCATGTCTGCTCAGAAGGACTCGTTCATTTCTCGTCCTTGACTTACTGTTCTGGACCATACCCAGAATGCTCAGGGATCACTCCTGGCTGAGTTATGGAACCCTAAGGGATGTCAGGGCTCCAACCCTGGTCAACCGCAAGCTGGGCAAGCACCTTATGCGTTGGCCTACCTCTCCTTGACTCTTCAAGGAGCCTTCCTTGACTTCAATGGGACTCTCTTCCTCCTTCCTCTCAGATTTCCTCCATAAAACCATTTACTTCAAAAAGAAAAAGAAAAAAGCAAGCCTTTTTTCTCTCCCAGACTCCCCAGAAAAAAGGGGTTAGCAGGAGCACGAACATATGAAAGGAAAGAGATGCCCACTCCAAACAATGTATCAGACAAGTTTTGAGCGCGCACACACACACACACACACACACACACACACACACACACACACACACTCTTTAAGATTTTCTCATTCATTGAACCTATTTTTAGAACTTCAGGAAGTTCTGGAATCCATCCCTCGCCGTAAGAATACGTTGCCATTAAGAGGTAAGACAGTATGAAGCAAGCTGATTCTGGAGTGAAAATGACTGAATGGGTTAAAAATGAGTGAAGAAAGAGGAAAAGGCAAGCAGTCAATGGTTGCTCATCATAACGGAGGGGGCAGAGATCCGACTGAGAGCCTCGAAACGCATTCATTAATAATTTGAGGAAGGAAGTGCAGTGCAAGTTTGTGTCTGATGCAATATTGTCCAAGTTACTAAACAGCATGAAGAAATGAGAGGAACTCGACATGAATTAAAAACACAGCATGCAGGCAATAAAGGGAGGGGAAGCGACTTTCCTGTAATTGTGCTGTGAGTAAATCTTATCAGTCTTTACAAACCCATATTTTCTAACCCTCTCCCATTAAGGAAACATTGATGCTGCGAAAGATCTTTGCAAGAAAGATACCAGTATCTGCATAAGGATGTCGATGTTTTTCAAAGTTTCTTCAGCAGTGGAGTAATTTAGAATGGTATCAGGTGAAGGAAAAACCAAATTTCTGGTTTTTAATAAAACAGTCTGATAGCGCGAAAGCCTGGCCCCAGGCTGGGAAGAAAAAAAAGGAGTGGTATGATTTCATGTAAAATTGTTTTCATGTCTTTAGAAACAATTTAGGAATGCAATTCTGGATTCGGAGTGAAGTTCGTGGGAAACTGGGAAGCTGGAGAACTCTGGTCTAGATACTATGTCAAAGAAAGGACGAATCCCTTTAACATAGGCTTTCGATGGCAAATGGTGTTATTAAAGCTTCCTGTTTCTCTTAGAACACCCTCTCCCTCATCCCCGGGGATGATTATGATGGAAAAACAGAAATCACAGTATTCTTTGTGAAACACAGGGTCTCACACATGCAAGGCCTCCCTGGGTCCCCAAATGACAATTTTCAAAATAGGAAAATGCCATCGCAACAGATTAAAGGAATAAAGTGAGCTACTAGGATTCAATCCCTTCATCCAACAGATGTTTGCCGAGGGAGTTAAATCTATGAAGCTGAAAGAGATCAAATATACAGGTACCGAGAAAGGCATGCAAACCACAGAGCAGTCCACTTAGGATATATCTATAGGAAAAGAATTGTATGAGGCAGAGAATGGACGAGGTCATTCTCTGTGGCCCAGATAAGGGAGGTGGGTTCGTCCCACCCCCACAGGCTGGGCTGAGGAATTTGAACTTTAGTCTTTAAGTGATTTCTACTCTCTGCATGCCTGGCCGTGGTGCTTCCTGGCTGGCTGAAGGGATGAATGAAACCATTGATTTTTTTTTTCTTCTAGCAGACAAGTGACAAACTCCAATTATTGCCTTAGGAAGATTCATTTACATGGGTACGTAGGAGGAAGGGGAGGAACAGGAGCCTAGTTCGTGAGAGTTGAGTGAAGGCTAACTCTAGTATCCATTCCACTAGATGCTTGCCACATGGGATCTCCGTAATGACTTAACATAGTGAGAATGGTGTTGCAATTTGTGTTAATTAAACCACATTCAAGTAAGGGCCACCAGTGGTACACACCAGCATCAGCAGTGGTAGTCATAATAACTTTTTTTTTGGGGGGGGAGGGTTGGTTTGCCACACCTGGTGGGGCTCAGGGGACCTTATATAATATTGGAGTTCAAACCCATGTCAACCGCAAGACAAGAACCTTAACTGCTGTACTATATCCCTCTACCCGCTCCTTTTTCATAATATTTGAAAAAGGAAGAGTAAGAATACCAGTCCCATTTTTATTGTTAAAACAAACAGCAACCCAGGTCCGGACACCTTGAGTAATTTGCTCTAATCATCATACATGTGAAAGTGCTAATTTCAATCAGGTTCCAATCCAAGTCTGTATCTTGTCAGCTCAGCCCTTCATTGAAGAAAATCCTCCCCTCAGTGAGAACATGTTGACAAGACTCAAATGAGGATGGTTGGAACAAGGATGACGGCAGGGAGGGAGAGGAGAGGTTTCCGAGGCAGTTAGAAGATGTGGCAATTGAAAACAGGAGGGGAATTGGAGACAGACAGACAGACAGACAGACAGAAAGAAAAAAAGAAAGGAAACAAGTTTGCCACCTTTGTTTGAAATGACAGCAAAACATCCAGACCAGAGGTCTATTCACTTTCTCCAACCTCTCCGCCCGCATTTTCACACGTGTGAAGAGTATGAAGGGGTCATCTGCAGGAACGCCACCCCCCAAACAGGAAGTGCTCCTTCTCAGCGATCACTATCTGCCAAGATTGTTCTTTCTGGATGTCAAGCCTTCCCTCTGTGGCTTCTCCTGCCTGGCCAACTTCTGCCTCTCTTGGCTTGCTTTCAGCTGCCCCCTCAGCATCATTTCTTCTCCAAAACCCCAGTTTCCTCAGTTTAATTCTTTTCTCCTAGGGTCGCTCCTTTTTAAGGTTTCATGGCCCCTCCAGAGTAAGCTTCAGAGGGGGGGTGGTGGTCTGGGCTCTCCACCTTGATGGCCGCGTCGACACTGAGGCTGTATCATTAGATCTAACCCTCAAAAACTCACAGATGGGCAGATGAGATGCTGCTTCGGCCCTGCCCAGTGAAGTCAGTTTCTTCCTACTTAGCAACCTCACAACCAGGAAATCAGCGCCCTCATCACATACCAGGGCATTATTCATGCAGTTTACTCATGGTAAAGAGTTTCCCGGACTGGATGGCACCGAGGGACAGTGGCCGAGGCTTTGCGGCACTTCTCCAGTGTGGGAGTGGTGGTTGGCGGGTGGGGCAGAAACTTGGTTCGCCAAAAGCATCAACATTAACACTAGCGTAAACCGTGTTGCCTCAGCAAAAATAAACCAAGGACAGTTCCCTTGACAGAGAGCTCGCGACTGGGCGAAAACAAAGGGTCTCATTTTCTGGTGTCCATCCACGTCTGGAGAAGCGCGCGCCTGCGGAGGGCAGGGCAGAGAGACGGGCAAGTCCCTGTGAGTTCTTTGTTTCTGGAACGTGACTCCTAGTTCTGAATGAAGCCCATGTTGCAATTCAGGACGTGGTCCTTTTTCTGAACCACCTTGTGCAAGCAGTACTCTTGCTCAAAGTCTCTCTGGCTTGGGAGTAGAGAACTCGCGGGTCTCACTGAGGAGGGGTCTTGAACGCACTCATGGTCTCCTTTGGGGAAAAAAGTAGCTTCGAGGTGCGTCCACCCGCCAAGTCCCTTTCTCTCTTTTTTCACGTGGAGTGCCCTGAAGAGTGAGGAGAAACGGGGTCCGTGGGGAAGGGCGACCTGGGGGCGGGGCGTCCAATTCGCAGGAGGCAGCCCTGGGAGGGCCGGTATTCCCTCAGCGGGGTCTCCAGGGTGCTCAGGGCAACCACGTGGAGCCGCCCGGGGCTAGCGCCAGGGCTTCTAGAGGGCTACGAGGAGGAGAGCCGGGAGGGAGCCCGGGACGCGCCTGGACGGCCAGGATCCGAGGCGGAGGGCGGCCGCGCGGGGGCCCCGGTCGGGCGGGGAGGGGGCGGGGCCTGGCGGGGCGGGGCCGGGCGCGAGGCTCGGGCGGGGCGGGGGCGGGGCCTCACGAGGCGAGGCGGGGCCGACCGTCCCGGGTCGGGGCCAGGCGCGCGGCTCGGGCGGGGCGGGGCGGGGCCAGGCGCGCGGCTCGGGCGGGGCGGGGCGGGGCCTGGCGGGGCGGGGCGGGGCCGGCCGGCCGGGGGCGGGGCCTGGCGCGCGGTTCTCCCGGCCGGGCTGCCGCGCGGCTCCGCCTCGCCGGGCTACGCAGGCGGCGGGGCTGCGGCACGGGCCGGGCAGCACCATGGCGGCGGCGGCGGCGGCGGCTTCTTCCGAGGCGCCGGCGGCGGCGGCGGCGGCGGCGGGCGAGCCCGAGGCCGGGGACGAGGACTGTCGGAAGGTCCGGGTGCTGCAGAGCCTGCGGGGCAAGATCTGTAAGCGGGGTCGGCGGCGGGGCGGGGCGGGCTCGCGGCGGCGGCGCTGAGGGGGCGGCGGGCGCGCGGGGGCGGAGGCGCCGAGGGGGCCCGGGCGGGCGAGGCGCGCGCGGGGCGCCGGGGCGCGGCCGGACGCGGGGCCGCGGGGCGGGGGGCGCGCCGGGCTTCCGGCGGGCGGGCGGGGGACTCGGGCCTGCGGCGGCCGGGACACCTGCGCCGGCTCTGACAGCGGCTTCCCGGGCGCGGGTCCCCGCGCCGCCGCCGCGCCGCCCCCCGCCGCCCTCCTCGGCCGCCCCCGCCCCGCGGCCGCCCCTCAGGTTTCTGCCCCCGGTCCGCGCCCGGCCCGGACCCGACCCCGGCGGCGGGCGCGCTGCACGCTCGTTCGCTCGGAGTCTCCGTATTCCCAGGGGCTCCGGGCGTCCCAGGGCCGTTGCTCCCCGCCCCCCGCGGTAAACCGGAGGAAACGCTCCTTTCCCTCCCCCTCCTCTTTCTGCGTTTGCAAGAAGATTCTCGCCGCCGAGCTGCTGTTTGCTTTGGTCGAAAATCAGCGTTGTTTCCTTTCATCTGGAGCCGCAGCGTGGAAACGCGCTTCGTGTTTCCTGTAAATAGCCCTTGCTTAGGAGAAGCACTTTTTCCCCCTTTTACTCAGAATGAAGAAAATTGTCTGGCGTTGAAATGACTAACCCTGCCTTCCCTGCCAGGGATCCCAGGGGCGTCGAGCGTCCCCCTCTCCGGAGAGAGGTGTTCCTTGAGCTTGGATTCTCGCGCTCGGTCGTTTTTCTCCCCCCCCCCCCTTTTTCAAGTTGCTTCCCCTTCCCAAAGGCTTTTGGGGGCTTTTAGTAAACCTCAGAAGCAGGTTACAGTTTCTCACCGTTTTATTCCCAGAAGTAGTCAGGGACTGCTCAGGCTGCAGTTCTTGCCACCTGGAAAACAGCACAGCTTGTCTCTTTTCCAGTTGCCGAACATTCTAAGGTACCTTCCAGGCGTCGACTTTTCCCTTTTCGTTTTCTTTTCGTTTTCTGGAACTCGCTGCTAGGTACTGGTCACTGAAGCCCGCTGCCAGGCGGCAGATCTCCTTGGGGAATCCCATAGGCACCTCTTGGAGTTGAGAATTCAGTGGGATGGGCAGCTTGGTTTTCCTGCATTCACCTGCTCCGTGGCAGAGATAGATGAAAAGATTCTACCTTGAGTGAAACTTCCACCCACAAGAGAAAACACAACTTTCTTTGTCTGGCTTTAGAACTACTACCCAGACTTGCAAGATTGATGGATCGTCAGGTTGCTGGGAATGCTATTACTGCTTTAACCGTACTTGAAATCTTCCATCTGTTATCTCCATCCATTTCTTGCCGTTGGAATTGCCCAAGTGATGGGGCAGGTCAGGAAGGAGCTGCTGCATACGAAGCCCGTGTTGGGAGGCCTCCCCCCATCTCCGCTCCGTTCTTCTGCCCTCTTTTTAGCTGATGTCATCCAAAGTTGGTTGACCGTGCTGCTTTCTGTTTCCCTGAAACTGGCATGTGGGTTTTGCCTGGGTTTTGCAGGGGAGCTGGAGGAGTCCTTAGCAGGTGCTGAAGCCACAGTAATGGGAGACGGTGGTTCTGTGGAGGGGGGGGGGAATCACGCAGTTTTGCTTTTCGATCTGGGAGACTTGGAAAGAAAGCTTGCTTAGCGCCCGCTTGTCTGGAGAAGGCCTCACAGATTCCAGATTGTCCCAAAACTCAGAGCCGGAGAATGAGAGGGCCGGAGCGCTGGAAGGGAGCCTGCGAGGAAGCCTCCTTTTCCTGCACCTTTCAGCTCTACGCCCAGTTATCCTAGGGCAAAGCCAGGATGGAGGGTTTTATCTGTCTTTCAAATTCCAGAGATTGTAACCTGCAGCCCTTGGTAGGAGTTTCCTTTTTCATATTGGTTAAATTGTGCATGTACTTTGGCAAGATGGGTTTGCCAGATCGACAGACTGCAAAACCATTTTGTGGCCATCAGCGGACATTAATGAGCCCTGACAATTATTTGGGTTTGGGGATTAGTCTTGGGATTCCTAAGACGTGGGGTCATTTTAGTGAAAGACAAAGACATCTCAAAGACAAGTCCTCGAGATCATTTTAGTGCCCTTTGAGATCGTGGCAGCTTCAAAGGGTCCATTTTCTTAAATGTATTCAAGAGATAGGGCTGGTTGTTGGATGGCTGAGCCTTGTTCTGTGAGCTGTTTTGATGAAGAAAGCTCAGGGCGAGGGGTGGGGGCTGGAGAAATAGCACAGGACTTGCTTTGCATGCCACCAGGTGTGGCTTACGTGCTTCCTGGGTGTAGCCCAGTGTCCTCTCCTCCACCTCCCCCAAACCCAGCGTAAAAGGGAAGAAACTAAGGATGTATTCTACACTCCATCCTGCGGCCTCAAATCCTGTGCCAGGAGTAGCAGTTGCCAGGGTACCTGGAGCACGTTTGCTTCCACCACCCCAATATCCGCTGCCCGCCCCTTACGTGCAAAAGAACGGAGGGGCTTGGACTTTTCTCCTTTATGCGTTCAAGCCACAGACTCTTATTTTATGATGTCCTGGGTTGCTGCTTTCTGTTGAAGGTTGCTGGGAAATGAAAGAGTTTGGGCCATCTCAGGCGTGGGTTTCCCTGCTCAGGGAAGACCTGATTGATAATGGACCCCAGAGCTGAGAGTTTGTGTGAATAGGGAGACGGTACGGTTCAAGATCATTGGGACGTGTCCGGTCCCAGAACCTGCCAGGTCTCCCTGAAGTGTTCGGACAAAGTGCAGAGTATGTGTGAGAGGATGGCGAGAGATGGAGGGATGGTCAGGCACTTGAGTTTAGAGACGTGGACAGGATAGTCACCGGGTTTTGAGTCTTCACTTCCCCAATTTTGTTAACCTCCGGGTGCCTTTATGTTCTCTGGTGTAAGTGGAGAGAGTACAAACACCTGTCTCAGGGGATTGATAGGATTAAATAAATCCTATTTGCTGATCATTTCTGCATTGCACTCAGAACTGGGTCAGAATGGATCAAGTCTTGGAACAAGTATAGTAGGAGATAATAACTAATCTTTATCTTATATTCTCGTTCAGCTTGTGCTGGTATTTACTGCTCTACAAAACTGATTAAAATCAGAAGACCTGTATTTTGTTAGCCATCATTCTTTTGACTTTTAGGTAACTCTCTCACCTTTATACTTTGTCTTTCTTGTCATTAAAATGCAAATGCTATCAGGGCCCGAGAGATAGTATACAGTGGGAAAGGAGCTTATGCCTCGTATACAGCCAACCCTGGCTCAGTCTCGGGCACTGTCTATGGTTCCCCCAAGTCCTGCCAGGCATTCTCTCTGAGCACTGAGCCGGGAGCAATCCCTTAGCACCTCCAGGTATGGCCCCAGAACGAACCAAAGAAACAGTGGGAATAATGTTTCATTATTAGCTATTTTGTTCCCTCTGCTTGAGAGTGTCTTTCTTTCCTCCAGGCCATACTGATGTGAGGGAATGCTTCCTCCTGCTTCCAAGGCTGCTCTGTGCTCCAGACCAAAGTCTTGTAAAGGGCATGCCACCCCAGCCCTGGAGAGATGTTAGGCCTTCTGCTTCCCGGGCATACACTTCCTTGTCCATTTCCTTTTAATAGTGCATTTGGTAGAAATCGTGTCTTTGTTTCTCCTCTTAGACCAGCATTTCCCCAAGTGGGTTGTGCTCTTCTCCTGCCACGGATGAGGGCAGGGGGTGGTAGTAGCTTCCAGTGCAATTGGGGTTTGCATTTTGTTTGCTCTATTTCAGGGGGCAAATGTGGGGCAGGGGCGGGGGGTACTGAGTCACGCTTTTCTTCTGCAAAAGAGGCAGTGGGTCAGTAGGCCAGCTACGTTTGGGAAGCGCCACATAAGGCTGCGAGCGCTTCCAGGGAAGAATTCATGCAGCTGGCCCAGAATCAGCATTCTACCCCGGGAAGAATAGCCCTTTAGAAAATGCCCTACTGCTCGTTGCCCTGAAGATCTGAGATGCTAGGCAGGAAATTGCTGGGTGAATTTTACAATGAACCAAGCTAGAAGATGTTCACTCTATTCAAAAGAAAACTGTCCACATCTCTGGAAGAGGAAGTTCCCCCTTTCAGACTCCCAGCGCCCGCTGAGCTTCGGTTTGAGTGGTGCCAGTGCTGCTGCATTAGGAAAGAGATGATGTTTTTCGGAGTGCTCTGATCACTTACTCTTCAGGGATTTGGATATTGGTTCAAGCCGGCATTCTTGTGAATTTTGTTATTAATCCATGGTTCTGAACCTGGAAAAGAAAAACTGGTGTTCTCACACGTTTGATGTTTTTTTGTCATGGCATGTTTCTTAGGATAAAGCATACAGCAAAACATTTTACTCACTATGCCATAGAATTCAGACAGGCGTGAAAACGTCTCTCGGTGCTGAGGCTTTCTTATCAGCTGCTCGAGCTATTTAATCAATTAAATAGCAGGGAGGATTTTTAAAAGGGCTTGTCCATGCTAATCATTTGTTATTGTCAGAAATTTGAAATGAGATGATGAGTTATTTAGAATGAAGGAAGAATCCATCTTTCAGACGGCTGGAAGCGAGAGAAAGGGGTTCTTTGTCAGAGTTCACGGGCACTCTGCTAATCATTTGCTCTGAGGAAGGCAGGAGGTGAACCTCAATGAGTTCATAGACTTTTTTTTTAACTTAGAACTCTTTGAACAGACCTAGAGACTGTGGAGCTAATGTAATGAATAAAACTATCATTCTTTTAATCATAGATGCTAATCTTACTTCCTTGTTAATGTGCGGTAAGAAATTGACAGTATTATCAGGTCACGTAAGAAACATTAAAAAAATTTTACTGTGAGCCATTGTTTAATGTAGATTAATACACTATGTCACTGTCACTGTCACTGTCTTCCTGTTGTTCATCGATTTGCTCAAGCGGGCCCAGTAACGTCTTCATTGTGACATGTGTTGTTACTGTGTTTGGCATATAGAATACGTCACGGGTAGCTTGCCAGGCTTTGCTGTGCGGGCG